TGTGCGTACATCCATGTTCAGTTTGAGTCTGGAGTATCTCAGGTCCCAGGGGAGTCTTCTGAAGCAGTTTACTGCATAAACTCCCACTGTAGTGATTCATGACCCAGTCCCCGTCTCCAAGGTCAGAGACAAGCAGGGACACCAGCAGCAGGGACACCAGCAGCAGCCACGGCCTCATTGTGCTGAGGAAGAGTGCTGGAAGGCAGCATGAACCCAACAGTAACACTCTTATCTTTACTGCACTCCCTCATCTTGCTTTGAATATGCAAACAATCGAGCAAGTTACAGCTCTGCTCTCTCTAAAAATGTACCTCAATTACAAAGAAGGAAAAGCTTTTGGAAAGCTTACCTTTGTTCTTATTGAGTGCTGAAGCTTCTTCACTTCTTATACAAATGTAACTGATTGGTTGGCACCCCCACTGTATCTTATTTGACAGATAGCTCAATTATTGTCCAAAAACAATATACTCATTTGATCTTAACTCTAAATGATCCCACACACACTGTCCTGCTGTCAGAAAATCTCACTAAAACACAAATTGTGTATTAATCCGCAACAAAAAATAGTCCCCAACAAATGCACTTTACTCCTGCTAGAGTTATGCTTGCTTAAAGGTCAAATGCCCAGTTGTTTAAGAAAACAATTTGTTTTATTGAAACTATTTATTTGTTGCCTTGTTTGAGAGATGTTGGTCTTCTGTAGGCAGAATGGGCTGGGGGTTGAATGCCCAAGAAAGGGCAAGAAAGTCCGAAAGTGTTAAAAGAGGGACTAACATAACACCAGCCTTGTCCTTTAATGGCCTTCAGGACAGGTTACTGGACATACAGTTGATCCTAAAAACTGAGGGGGAAATACCCACAAACCAATAACCCTTCTTGGATGTTGAATTGTAATATTAAGTGTGGGTTGCAAACAAAGGCGATGCTACAGTAGGTGTAAAAGACACTAAAGTGGCCCTGCTCTTTGAAGCAGGTGCATATAATATATTGCCTCACACTCGCTGTGCTAACAGTGGTTTGCATATTATCAGACTTTATCATAAGACACACTGTGCTCAGGTCAGGAGGACGGTCACAGAGCAGTGCCTTCAGCAGCAGGTAAGATGACGTCCTTGTGTTTTATAGAAGCTAGACATACTAAAATAATAGGTTTAACCTTCGTCATTTGATCTGTGTTACATTTCTTTCAGTGAGTGTGTAAAAAACACACTCACTGAAAGAAGTGTATGCACATAGAGAAAAGCAGAAGATGTAATGTCTTGGCCTGTCAGTTTGAATGACTCAAACAAAACTAAAAGAACCAGATTCATTCACTTTTTCTTTTTAAATGGCAACATTGTAGCCAATGTCTTTTCATTGATTTGAGTATATATATATATATATATATGTTTTTTTATGCATCAAACGTGAACCAAACCAAGGAATTGTCATGCTTCTTTTCCATCAAAACACTGGAAGAATGCTGTTCTTGTATCATTTGTAAAACGGATAATTGTGTTGTACCCACAAAACACAATATAATACAGTAAGAATGTATCGAATGCTGGAGAGGGTGGTTGTGAAATAATAAAATGTCACATGCTCATAATATAATATAATATTTAAATGATTTTTAAAAAGTAGTGATAATTAAGTGATAGTATTGAACTACTTTTCAGGAAAAGTGTATAATCTGGGCTGGGATGTCCTTTTGAATATATTACACATGTTATATGTCCTCTTGTTTGAATCCTGCCTATGAAGAATATCAGTGATATGTTTACATTACAGCTTTAAGCCAGACGTGCAGCCCTGACCAATCACATCAGTCACATCACACAGAACAATATGGGAAATCTTCTCAACTCTCCATGCAAGATGAGCAACCTCAGCGGTAGAAACATCCGACTGTTCATCACAAAGGAGAGCTGTGAGATGGACGCCTTCATCACCTCTGATTCTGCGGGGCTTCCTGAAGACAAAAGGTTCCTCTTCAGGAAAGACATGGACAACACCCAGGTCCTGGCCTCCATCCGGGTCCTGGCCTCTCAGACAGAGGAAGTGCCCTGGGAATCTCACAACTTCGTCTCTGCCTTCGTGGAGGATGAAAATGATATGAATATCTGTGGCAAAAAAATCATACACAACATGGTGCTGAGTGCTCCAGTTACTGTGCTGGTTTATGATGTGTAGATTCACACTTTGTTCATGCGCTTATTATTCTCTGCTTAAGAAGAATAATGCATTTGTCATAAGTAGGTCTGAATTCATTTGATAATTAAAATAAACATTAAACACCTGAATGATATATGGAATTATATTCTTGATGCCTCCAACAAAATGTCTGCTCAGCTTCACGGTCCTCCTGCTTTTCCATGTATCATTTCAAAGTCAAATGAGGTTACACATTCACTGAAGAGGCTTCTCAATACTCAAATTTCCCCTCCTCGACTCCCCTCCTCGGTTCCCCTCCTCGAGACATGAGAGGCTTCTCAATACTCAAATTTCCCCTCCTCGGTTCCCCTCCTCGAGACTTAGACCCGCCCACAGGAGATGCGAGCGGAGGACCGAGGAGGGAAACCGAGGAGAGAGGAGGGGAAGCAGCAGACGTTTAAAGAAATGAGAACTCCTCTCCTCTGAGCGGTCATTTTAAAGAGACGTCCGTTCATTATTACGTGGCAACAGCTGCATCAGCTGTCGAGTGTTTTGTCGCTGTATCTCTGTTAGATCAGCTGAACATTGTTCCCCCACATATTTACTTTGAATTCATTGAGAGTGCGGTATAATGAGACAATAACAGGCTACAGATGCGGACACACACACACAAATATATTTATATAAATATATACAATTTAAAGTATGAGAGCACTCTCATAATAACGTAACACAATCAGAGACTGGATATATCCCCCCCCCTCTCTCTGGTCGCTAAAATGGGGAATTGAAATTACGGGCCAAAAGTTGTATTTACAAGTAGCCTATTAAAAGTAAGCAGAGGACACCAAACCAACTGAGACCCGTCTGTCCGCCGCATTTACGCACTGTACAACACACACCTACACACTGTACCACACACACCTACACACTGTACCACACACACACACCTACACACTGTACCACACACACCTACAGCTCCTAAAGCATAAGCCGTTGTGTATTTTATTATGTGAAGCAATGGTCTTAGAAAAATATCGACTCTTTGTTTGTAGATATCTACTAAACTAAAGCAAATAAAGAGAGTAGGCCTGTTATACTGAGTGATATATATTATACACACTGCTCTGCTTTCTGCACGGACCTTACAGCTGTTCTCTCTGGAAAGATCGCGACGCGATGAAAGCAGTTTCTAAAATAATATCCAGGGGATGCATGCAGAGCTGTCATTGGCTGAGATAAGTCCGCCCGTGCGTCACGCCTCCACCGTTCCCGGAAATGCATCCGTGGAGGAACCATCAGTGTATCCTCGGTTAGAGCTCCTCCAGAGAGACTCCTCAACGCTCGATCCTCGGTCCTCGGTGTGCATTTAGAGAAATGAGATGTCCTTCAAAATGGCGCGCTGAAATTCATTTCCGGGTCACTACCGGAGGACCGAGGACCGAGGAGTCGAGGAGGGGAAATTTGAGTAATGAGAAGCCTCTTGAGTGTCACTCTCCTTGCGTGACCGACCCTCTCTGATCATCTGCTTGAGTCCAGATCTGCCGATATTTGCTGAACAGTGGAAGCTTTATTCAGACTGAAGGGCTGCTAAATTAGATGACATGCTTAGAGTTCTCTATCTTCCACATGGTTGTGTTGAAAAAAAAGTCATTGATGACACCTTAAAAATTGCATGTTAGTAGCTAATGATTACACTTCAATTATGAATCATTTTTTGAGTTACATAGGGTGTTATTTCAAACCAAATATTTTTAAATGAATAGTATTGGGTTGATAAGATATATAATCAACCCAAGACAGAGCTTTCTGCACTCTGGTTTGATTATTTTCAGGCCAATTATTATTATTATGGCATTTTATTGTATCTGATGTAACTTATGTATATGTTATAAATTAAATAATATAAGTATATAGTGTAATCATTAAATAGTCTTATCAGTGTGATTTTGTAGGGATTGGATTTTTTTGGTATAAATAATAAGTCACTTATTTAAACTGCAGTGTTGTTAAAGCCTGGTGTAATACAGGATCTTACCACTAGACGTCAGTGTAGAGCAGCAGAATGAAGTACAATACGTTCATTTATTATAGCACTTTTCACAGAAATAAAGTTCACAGTGCTTCATAATAAAAAAGTTAAAAAATAAGATGCAATAAGACAATAAAAACATGTGCCAGAAGTTAAGGTTAACATAAAAACAAAACACAGGCAACAAAGAGTCCCAAAAGGAACAAACAAAATAACCTAACTTCGCATCTCAAGGAGACACAAAGCCAATCAAAATGACAGTTTAATTTTTTACATTTAGCAGCACTTTTTTCAGTTTGACATGCTGTCATATCCTAAACTCTGAGCTCATCACTGTTGTCACTTTTCTGTGTAAATATACGTATTACTTACATTTTGAGTGTATGAGAAAAAAGGCGAACAAAAGCAATTAACTCCATGCTGTTTACATTGCTGCTGCCAAGCTCAATTTCTATGTTGTAATTTATAAATAAACTGTGTGCACTTGCCTAATGTGATACAGCATGTGTAAAATGAGAGAGATGTAGAGAAATATCAATAGAAAATAATAATATGAAAGAATGGATAATACAGTGTTTACTTTTGTCATGCCAAAGGCAACAATGTGTTCTTGGGTTGCATTATGGAACATATACTATCAAATAGCATTCCTTGGAACACATCATATCAATAAAATGAACGTAACATTTAAATACGAAATGTAATTAAAACGATTATATTTATTTAATTACACATTTTATAATAGTAGAATTATTCAAAAGTAGATGTTGTTGTAGTTCCCGTCCCTGACTGCTAGAGGCAGCATTTCATCTTGAGGTTCTCCCAAACTAAAAGACGAGCAAGGAAAGCCGCTTCCTGTAAGGTCAAAGTTCACCAGCTAGCATAGGAGCTAACTTCTTCCCGAAAAGACAATTCACTCTGTCAAAATGGATGTAAGTCAAGCGAAACAGGAACACCTCCTCGCCTTAAAAGGTATTTTAAGCTTCTTACAACATCCTAAAGATAGCGAGTCTAGACGTTGTTGTATAGGTAAAAAGTGGACATAAATATCCCAGTTCAATGCCTGGTTTTCATTTGTTGTTGCTATCAGCTGCTAATAGCGCGAGCTGATACAGTAACACTTTTACAGATAGCATGCAATCCATGTAGTCAATGCCAGGTGTATCTTTAACTAGTGAAGTGTTTGTCGCTATTGGACCTCATTGCTGAGATCGAGATACACTCTGTAGCAATGTATTAGAGCCAGAGTCATACCGTATTACCAGCTATGACGTTTTTGTTAGCTAATTTAGCTAAGTGCAATAATGTTATCTGATGAATGAGTGAATTACGCCCTGAAATACTCCGTAGCTTTGTTATCTTTGATATGTGTCTGCAAGCGTATATACTTTTGTCAATGTATTATTAGTACTTACTTGGAAGGTTACTGACAGTCAAATGATGTGTCAGGAAACTACTTAGCCAATAAACCTGATTCCGTTTTGTTACCCATTAAATGTGTGTTAAGAATAAAAGATAGAATACATACTGAACCCAGATCATGCATATGGATCCTGTTAAATGTGTCTTTATAAGCTGGCAGCTGCTGAAATGTACGTGACCAGTAACTCATGATTATCAAATTACAGTCAAACATTCACCCTTTCAATTATGTGTGGATTCCCTAGAAAACAAACCATGTCCACGCTAAATGGATCAATTGCAATGCAACCATTGTTGTTCTCTGCGTTACAGCCAAAGACAGTATCAGCTGTTTGGTTGTCTTCTTGTGTTGGACTGTAATCTGCCTCTCTGCTTATAATCTCTGCTAGGACAATTGCCTATTATTACCCTACGATGAGTACTTTAGTCATTTCACCAGGATCTGTTCATCTGAGTGGTAGAGATTACTTTCAAATAAGAGCGAAATATGTCTAATCACTAACCGATGTGCCTTTACTTTACAGTGATGCGATTAACAAAACCAACACTCTTCACAAACCTGCCCGTGACATGTGAAGATCGAGACCTGCCAGGTAAGCCTGAGTAGCTTCACACACAATCATTCTAATTGAATTCTCCATTTAACAGATCTATAGCAGAAGAGGGCAAATGATAACAGGCTTATTTCTGTGGTCCCACCATTTCAACCAGGGGGGTCAAACTCAATTTCATCGCGGGCCACATTAACATTATGGTTGCACTCAAAGAGCCGGTTGTAACTTTAAGACTATAAAAACATGTATATAAATATTTAATATATATAAAATAACGTATTATATATTACATTATTGCCTCTGCATTGGATTATTTTCGGATAGGGTAATAACTTCATAATTAACTACGTCTAAGTTTAGGGCAAATAATTGCAAGTCTTTTCAGTGAGAATGTCACAAAATGATTTAAAAAGAAAAGTCACATTCTGGGAAAAAGGAAGTGACATTTAGAAAAAAAAGTAACATGTTGAAAAAAAGTCAAATTCTGAGAAAAATATAAAGTTTGAGATGCATTGTGGGACATGTAGTTTATGGGCAACGTGCTTCTGTAAATCGGCCTGTAACCGTATAATAAACATATTATGTTCTTTGCAAGCTCTTGAAAATGAAGCCACGGGCCGGAGTTGGCCCCTGGGCCTTGAGTTTGACACCCCTGATTTAAAGGCAACAGGAGGTACGATACCTGCATTAGCTAAGGGGTTTTATATCGCTTCCTCCGATGAGGATCACAGGGCTGTCGATCTATTGATTTTTATATTACAGTGAATTTCATACTTTTCACTTGTTGTGGTTGATATTTCAGTGTCCTTAAGCAAAGACAAGGAACACATAGAAACAACCTGCCTCTGGACTTGAGTACAGAATAGACAAAACATAATACAACTGTGCTATTGACTATCAGGATGACTATTTGTACATATAGTACACGCAGGCTATGAGGAGTACACGCAGGCTATGTGGAGTACACGCAGGCTATGAGGAGTACACGCAGGCTATGAGGAGTACACGCAGGCTATGAGGAGTACACGCAGGCTATGAGGAGTACACGCAGGCTATGAGGAGTACACGCAGGCTACGAGGAGTACACGCAGGCTATGAGGAGTACACGCAGGCTATGAGGAGTACACGCTATGAGGAGTGCACGCAGGCTATGAGGAGTGCACGCAGACTATGAGGAGTGCACGCAGGCTATGAGGAGTGCACGCAGACTATGAGGAGTGCACGCAGGCTATGAGGAGTACACGCAGGCTATGAGGAGTACACGCAGGCTATGAGGAGTGCACGCAGGCTATGAGGAGTGCACGCAGACTATGAGGAGTGCACGCTATGAGGAGTGCACGCAGGCTATGAGGAGTGCACGCAGACTATGAGGAGTGCACGCAGGCTATGAGGAGTGCACGCAGACTATGAGGAGTGCACGCAGGCTATGAGGAGTGCACGCTATGAGGAGTGCACGCAGGCTATGAGGAGTGCACGCAGACTATGAGGAGTGCACGCAGGCTATGAGGAGTGGGCACGCCAGTGCACGCAGGCTACGAGGAGTGCACGCAGGCTACGAGGAGTGCACGCAGGCTACGAGGAGTGCACGCAGGCTACGAGGAGTGCACGCAGGCTACGAGGAGTGCACGCAGGCTACGAGGAGTGCACGCAGGCTACGAGGAGTGCACGCAGGCTACGAGGAGTGCACGCAGGCTACGAGGAGTGCACGCAGGCTACGAGGAGTGCACGCAGGCTACGAGGAGTGCACGCAGGCTACGAGGAGTACACCCAGGCTACGAGGAGTGCACCCAGGCTACGAGGAGTACACCCAGGCTACGAGGAGTGCACGCAGGCTACGAGGAGTACACGCAGGCTACGAGGAGTGCACGCAGGCTACGAGGAGTGCACGCAGGCTATGAGGAGTGCATCCAGCAGGAGGTCGGGATCACTTCAGCGTGTGTGTTGCTTCGCGTGTCGCCAAACTGACCCGAGCCACACGACCTCCTCCCTTTCTTGGAAACCATCACTATTATAGATTTACACTCTCAGAACTTTCTCCCACATTTAGATGGCAGGCCTCCTGAGAGCCTCACTGCTTATTTCCACTCTGATGAATGACAGCCAGGAGAAATGTTTTAGCTGGTAACTGAAGTCATGACACAGCATAAATCATGATTAGGACCCTTCTAAGGGGGTCGCTATTTATACAAGAGTAGAAATGAAGTGAGGACTCATCTTAGGTCACAAGTTCACCAAGATAAATGAGTTGAATATGACATTAGAAACATCAATCTATTTGACTCTTTGCTCTCATGCAGCACCTGTACCTCCTGCACTCTCTGCAGACTCTTTCCGATGCTCTTAGTGTTGAAGCAATAGTAGAAATAGTATTATTGTTGTAGTAGTCGTGTTAATGAGTCAGTTGGAACAGCATAAGATCTATGGGACATTTGAACTAAATATCACCCCTCAGGCTCAGACTGTTTGAAACCTGATCTTCAGAGGTGCTGTGTTCCTCTCTGTGATCCTCCCTGCCGTGCACAGAATGCTCAATCCTTTATAAGAACATACTGTATAATATATCCCTTATAAAACCTTGCTGTGTCAGAGCTGTGTCTACATCTTATCTTATACACAGTCCACAACAGACAGGTTTGGACGCACTGTGATTTTGGCAGCTCATTGAAACACATTCAAGTTTATTTGATTGATACATTTGCAACCACTTGCATTTGAATGCACAAATAACATAAATATGTGGATGTTGCATCCAGTACAGGTGTGTGTAATATTGTGACCAACTTCACATATCTTTAGGTCACATTCATGCACCGTGACATCAAGCCAATTTGCTCGTACGTGTGAACCTACCTGGCAATAAACCCGTTTCTGATTCTGATCTGATTCTGAAGTATAACAGAATACACTTTATATGATATTACTAGGTATGACTTGTCCCTTGAATTCACATCAAACTCACATTTAAAATCTTTGAAAAATCCTCTGGTGCGATTTATAAGTAATTGGCTCAACTGCTACTTACACAACTGTCAAAAACATATATTACCAGATGTATATGTTTTCTGCTACTGTCATATTGTGGAAATCTAAATGATCAAGAACATTTTTATTTTGGGTATCGTTTAAGTCCACCTTTAAAGATTTGAACATGTTAATGCCTGAATACATTGCTGCTGCAACAAAGTCATTGGCCAATGTGGGATCAATAACATACCTACCTATCTCTGTCCATCCATCCTTCTAATAAGTGTGCACACGTTTTTTATACCGGCCAAATCTAAAAGAAATCACTTTTTGGACTTATATTACAATTGTGGTTTGTTCTGCGATATTAGAGCGAATCATTATTTCTGAAATGTTTCTTCACAGTATCATTCATCATCATCATCATCATCATTGTTTGTCTTTTGTAGAAAGGGTGTTTATTAAGTTGTTTGTATGTCGGGACCTCTCTGCAGCGCTACAATACTTCCATCAGATATTTAAACACACATGTAGCCTTTAAATAACACTGTGCTTACTGTGATTGAGATATTGAAATTGTCCATATTGCATTTTGACCAAATTCCTAGTCCTATTTGTTTGTTGGCTAAATTGCTTCTCCCTGGCCCAGGGATAATGATGTTGAGCGATATTCATCAACAGAGGCTATATACACACTGTGTGTTCTTCCCTCCGTAGGGGATCTGTTTGATCAGCTCATGAGGGAGGACCCGTCCACCATCAAAGGAGCGGAGGCTTTAATGCTGGGAGAGATGCTCACATTACCGCAGAACTTTGGGTAATACATGCTGATCAACTGTTGGAGAATCATTCAATCACTTCCTGTTTGTTTGGAAGTTAAAAGATCTGACTTTCCACCTCTCTGCATTACACAGAAATATTTTCCTGGGTGAGACCTTCTCCAGTTACATAAGTGTGCACAATGACAGCATCCAAGTAGTGAAGGACATTCTTGTGAAGGTACTGTAAAAGTAGATCTCCAACACGTTGCATTCCACCTCCTGTTTGACCCACCTGTGATGTCCCCTCCCGCAGGCTGACCTACAGACCAGCTCACAGAGGCTCAACCTCTCCGCCTCAAACTCTGCCGTGGCAGAGCTCAAACCTGAATCCTGCATAGATGATGTTATCCACCATGAAGTCAAAGAAATTGGAACTCATATGTGAGTTTTCCAGTATGTACCCTCCTTTGCACCTTCAACCATCTAACATAGGTTTCTCTCTTCTAAGCGTCTCTTTCCTCTCTTCCTATTCCCAGCTTAGTTTGCGCCGTCAGCTACACCACTCAGTACGGGGAAAAGCTCTATTTTCGGAAGTTCTTCAAATTCCAGGTGGGTTCTATTTGAGTGCTCTCATTAGCTGACAGACTTTGGAAAACTCCTGTGTAAGCTTGGAGGAGACCTGAGAAATGTCACAGGCCAACAACAGGGCGAATGCAATTACCATCCTCCCTGTGGATCTAGTGTCCTGCAGTCTCTCAGTTTGTAACTCTCCAAACGCCATTCCCTTTCCTTAAGACATATTTCCAGTGTCAGAGCTCAAACGCCATTCCCTTCTTTAGCGTTATATTTCCAGTCTGATTAGTCCTTTTCCCACAGATATTGATTATTGTTCTGCCGAATGGAGTTACAGTGTGAGAAAACCACAGCATTCAGTTTGCAATCTATTCTCAATCAGGTTTTGAAGCCGCTGGATGTGAAGACAAAGTTCTACAATGCAGAGGTAAGTTAGCCGCTTTCAAATACCAGCACAGCATAACATGTAGAGCTCCTGTCAATACGCTGAGTATATCTGTTACCATTCTACAAATAGAAGAACTGTGCTGTGTGACAGCTGTAGCAAATACAACATGCTTCATATCATATTCCATTTTTAGCAAGGATCATTGCTAAATGCTAATGGGGGCAGCTAGTATAAGAATGTCTCCTGGAAAACCCTTGTACCTCCAGAAATGTAAAAAATATAATTGTGTAATGTTTGAAGAGCTGGAGATCAAGCGTTTTCCTCAGAGACAACAAGCATTTTCATTTTTCTCATTCTCATACCAGTAGCTTTTTATATTAGCGGTGTGCTATTATTCATTGTCATCATCTTTGGCATGTAACTTCATTTGTTTATTATGTCTTGTATTTTATTTTCTCCATTAGAGTGACCTCAGTTCTGTGGTAAATGTTCCCTCTGTTCTCATCGCTGAACATTAGCTTTCTCTAATCCTCTTGGTGCAGCAGACTTTCTGCAGCCAATAGAAAGGTGCAAAGTGGAAGAATGGAAAGTCATCTAAAAATGATAAAAGCCCTTCTAGATTGTAGACACATTAAACCTTGACATGAACTTTCCATTGTTGTTCTTTTGCCCTTTCTTTGGTAGCTTATGCTTTCTTGCAAACGCATCCTACACAGGGCTTGGACTTTTAATTGAAGTTTGTGGTGTTAAATTGTGGTGGGCGGGGATTGCTCTGATTATCCACTGTATAATCATTGGGGAAATGATGATGATGCTCTATGATTGTTCTTATTTTCTACGTATCAAGATAACATCGCAGACGGTAATGAGGGTGTCTTTGAATCTTGATATTCATTGTTGTATTGCTGGGTTAAAGGTGTAAAGCAACAGGCCGAGTGAGTTGTTACGGTCATGGGTTACAGAAGCAACATTTCTTCTTCTTTCTTTTCTTTTACAATGTTTGAGTTAATGAAGCAAGAACATCTGATTATTTGTAATAGATCGTGAGGTTTCAGGTTTGCTTTGGGATGGCTGTGCATGGAGCAGAGGCTAAGCTCTGTGGTTTAACATGGACCTCACTCAGAACAGGCTCTGATTCATTTCCTGTGTTATGGATTGCAAAGGCATGAATTAATCTCTGCTTCCCTCTCCTTGTATCTTACTGTATAGTAGAGGTTGCACTCAAAATGTGAACGTTGTTTGGACCACTGAGTGATACTTTTCCAAAGCATCAACTAGTTGCCCACAATCCTGTTCAAACACCAGAGCCAATTATCTTAGATGTAGGTTAAACAGTTCAAGTCATATCAGTTTAGGTAAGTATCTCACTTTTTTTTTTTTTTAAATAATATTAAATGCATTTTCATATTGAAATGAGATGTTATTAGTTATCAATAACAAAACGAGTTGATGTTTGAGAGACCTCTTTATGGCCTGTGGATTGGTGAAACTCTGGTTGTGCAACCCCTACTGTACTCACGCTGCTCAGCACTGCACTAACAATGTCCTCAAAGGTACACTGAGCAAACATAATACAATTACATTTATGTTATTCATGTTTATATGTTTAATGTTAGTTCGGTCAAAATAAATGTGATTAATTATGACTCTCACCACACTTAAAGTAGTTCAAAGGATATGTTCACATGTTATCTTAAAACATTGCTCACATGCTCATGTGTACATTCACAGAGTTAAAGCTGGTTATAGTCATTCCTCCTGTTCATACTTTTTTTTTTAAATCCAATGGACTAAAACCATTCCTTTTGTGTCACTTTGACACTGATATAAGGCTTCAGTCATCTGAGTTCAATCATGTGGGTAATTTAGTATAGTCATAGTATAGTTAACATCTTTACCCTTATTATTCCTGCCAAGCTGCAACAGAAGGATAGTAAAACAAGAATCATATTATATTAATAACGTTGCACACTTGTTTTAAGATCAACTTGTATTAATCCCAGAGGGGAGACACAGTTTTGTATAACTATGTATAGACTACGAAGGCATCGTTTGATTTATATCATTATGTACAGGAGGAAAAGGACAGCTGTTGAAATGAACATATGGGTGTGTGAATGAGACATGAACAGACGTGGACCTGTCCTTTAGCACAGTAGGGTTTCCACAAGCCTAACCCTTTTAATACCCAAGAGTAGTGTACATGTTGCTCAGTTCACCTTGGAGATAACGTGTTTGTGCTTGATGGTGAGCAACACATATGAGTAAGTGACTAGAGGCTTCTCCGCTGCAGACAGATGAAGTGTTCCTGGAGGCTCAGATCCAGAATATCACCACCTCTCCCATGTTCATGGAGAAGGTCTCCTTGGAGCCCTCCATGATGTACAACGTCACCGAGCTCAACACGGTGGCAGGGGGAGATGAAGGGTAAAATCAGCTTTCCATCTATATTCCTTCTTGTTAAGGTATACCACATCAGCTTTTTACACTCAAATCTCAACCCGATCTTTTAACTTCTAGAGAGTCCACATTTGGGAAAATGTCTTACCTGCAGCCCATGGACACGCGGCAGTACCTGTACTGCCTGAAACCAAAGCCGGAGTATGCAGAGAAAGCTGGAGTCATCAAGGGAGTGACGGTGATCGGGAAGCTGGACATCGTGTGGAAGACCAACCTCGGGGAGAGAGGGAGGCTACAGACCAGTCAGCTGCAAAGAATGGTATTAGGATTCTTTTATTTATTGTCCACTATTGCCAACATTCAGAGCATCCAGTGAACAAATATGGCATCCATTTTAAGTCTGATTTAAAAAAGAACCTCTTCTGGGTTATTTTAGTAGGTTAGGGTTAAAGTCTTTCTTCGTTACTTACATTTCAATCATTTTCATAAAGATCATGTTTCAAGTGAGAACATGAATGTGTTTTTGTAGAACATGGAGTAGTGGCGTAACCGTCAGCCTCTTGTGGCTGAATTGAGTATTACAACAACAAAACCATTGCAATTCTTTTCACAAATGAATTTTTTATTTAAGAAGCATTGAAAGATTATCCTGGGAAAAAACGTTGGTCATCTTTATGAGGTCATCAACACAGGAGAAAGAAATGATTTATTGTAATATGTTTTCATTTGTATTGTCTTTATTTCTGTAATGCTTCTATCTGTGTTCTGCAGGCTCCAGGGTATGGAGACATCAGACTGTCTTTAGAGATGATTCCTGACACCGTCAACCTTGAAGAACCTTTTGACATTATCTGTAAAATCACCAACTGCAGGTAAAAATCCCCGGCCCAACATATCAAACAATAATTGAGAAAACAGACACGACCCAACAGCGTTCTCATGTTGCAGTGAAAGAACGATGGACCTGGAGCTGGAGATGATGAACACCCGGTCCATCCACTGGTGCGGGGTGTCAGGGCGACAGCTGGGGAAGCTCAGTCCTGGAGCCTTCCTCTCTCTGCCCCTCATCCTCCTCTCCTCCGTCCAGGGTCTGCAGGTACGATCCAAACCTTTAGGAAAAGTGTTGCTTCATATCCTCGTGCTGTTCTTGCTGTTCTTATAATCTTTACATCTTTTGTTTCAGAGTATTTCCGGATTGAGACTTACAGACACATTTCTGAAGAGGACCTACGAATACGATGACATCGCACAAGTGTGTGTGGTCTGCCCATACACGAACAATGAGTGCTAGAACATTTTATTTGGCTTTTTTTGCATTTTAGATATGAATGGACCAACCTTGGGATTCTGCACATGAAGCTCACATTTCACTCTTTTTGCAACCTGATGGGATAATACTGTATTTTAAAATGAATTGTGTATAATATAAATCACTTTCTTTGAAATGAATGATGTAAATGGGCATAAATGTTAATAAAATCTCTGTGATCTTTGATTTCCTATGGCTTTCTATGGAACCTTTGTTGACTGCACTGAGCATATTTTCTTAAAAATGTATGTTATAGGGATTTTTGGGCATTTTAAACCACATATTTACCGCACATATGAAGGTGATAAATACATTAACCTGTTAAGCCCCGAGCATTTAAGTAAATTGACCAATATATTACTTTTAAGACATTTTACAAAAAACTTGTTGGTGGTAGGATTCTCTGGAGGTCAGGTATATGTTGAATGCATTTACTACGGCCGATGAGGAGCGCAACTTGACGAAACATGCGCAGTGACTGTCAACACGTGCTGCGGTCCCAGCTGTGTGCATCACTTTTTAGTTTCTCCGTTTCCGTGTTTTTTTTATCTTCTTGCAGCGTTTTGTATTTGCAATGCTTTGTTTATGCAACGCATTTTGTAAATGGTGCGAATGTTGGTGATTGTTTTCTAAATGCTGCAATGTGTTGTCAAGTTGGTGGAGAAGATGTGGTTTGGTTTTGGTTTGGCAAATGTGTGTTTTTATATTAGCATTGTGCTGGAAAGCGTTCTACTAATGGAAGTGTTTTGGGCCGTTGGCGGCCACCGTATCACCCGCTATGTAAAGATTTAACACAAGTAATAATACACTCACAGGTACAACTTTTTCATCAGCCAATCACATGGCAGCAACTCAATAGCCTACATTTAGGCATGGAGAGATGGTGAAGACGACCTGGTGAAGTTCAGACAGCATCAGAAAGGTAATTTCAGTGACTTTGAGCGTGGCATGGTTGTCGGTGCCAGATGGGCTGGTCTGAATATTTCAGAAACAGCTGATCTAGGATTTTCACACACAACCTTCATAGGGTTTACAGAGAATTGTCTGAAAAAAGAGAAAACATCCAGTGAGCAGCAGTTCTATGGGAGAAATCCTGTCAACTAAGAACAGGAAACTGAGGTTACAATTCACACAGGCTCACCAAACTGGAATAAAGAAGATAACGCCATGTCACAAAGCTCAAATCATCTCCAACTGGTTTCTTGAACAGGACAACGAGTTCACCGTACTCTAATGGCCTCCACAGTCTGCAGATCTAAATCCTACAGAGCACCTTTGGGATGTGGTGGAACGGGAGATTTGCATCATGGATGTGCAGCCGACAAATCTGCAGCAACTGGGTGATGCTATCATCTCAATATGGACCAAAGTCTCTGAGGAATGTTTCCAGCACCTTGTTGAGTCTGTCTATGCCACGAAGAATTAAAGCAGTTCTGAAGCAGGTACTGGCAAGGTGTAGCCTACCTAATAAAGAGGCCGGTGAGTGAATAACAATCACAAAAAAGCACGAGTGTGACACGTTGCTGAATTTCAAGACATTTATTCACATGTTTTGGACAAAACATTGTGCTGCCCTAGCATACCTATTTGTTTCCATAAAGCATCTGATCTCAAATACCAGATTTAAGAGCATGCAAAATGATCAATCTTAGTACTCTAGTTAATGAACAATTAAATATGCTTAAAGGGGGTATATTTATTATTTGCTAAAGTGCAATAACAACATGATGCAGGCTGCAAACACTGCTATACAATTACATTGTCTTAATCAACAGTTAAGTAGTAGGCTACTCGTTGAAAAGCAGTGATGTGAGTCCAACGTGTTTTCAATACACAAGTAGAGCCTATATGCCGTCTACAAAAATAATATTGAACTGGATGCAATATAAACCTGGTGTGTTTTTCTATGAACAAACGCTGAATGTGTCCTGCAGTCCTCCCTACTCTCTACGTATCATGAATAAACAGAATGATCCCTAACTCATAACATGAAGCGGGCAGTATTTTCAGCACATATAAAACACAATTTCAGCAGGATGTAAAAGCAAGCTTAATAGGCTCATTCACACCGCAGTACTTTTCTCACAAAGGTTCATGAGAACTCTTTAGTTCTCATGAACTAAATACAGATCGCGTTCACACCGGAATAAATCCCTGGGGGTGGATTAGGCAAATGAAGCCGCTGACGTCACTTCTTCTTATTCTGCTTTGGGTTTACTGGCAGGCCGCAAACCACTTCACGGCGTATACTGCCACCCGAAGTCCCCGGCGTTGGGGACTGGCTTCAGTAGAAGCTGCTGGGACTCCCAGCAGCTTCTACTGAAGCCAGAAAATCGCCAGAACGCCGACACCTCCTCATCTCCACCGCTCCCATGTTTTATTTTGTGTTGCCATAAATTAGTCTCTCTGCGTTTCTGCGCTGGGCTAATGCTAATGCTAATAATGCTAATGCGAGGATAATAAAATGGCGGCTTCACAAAACTTTTTGGGAGTTTTACGGGGCGTAGTTTGCAATCCGCCCAGCCAATCAGAAATATAGCTCTTTTCTCACAAGAGAGCCGCACGAAAGTCCCTGCATCGTGGGGGTAAAAAGGTTCTCATGAACTCATTTTAGTACCGGCTCTTTTTGGTGTGAACGCGACAAAAGAGTTCTCATGAACTAAGTTCTCATGAACCTTTGTGGGAAAAGTACTGCGGTGTGAATGCGCCTCTTGGCTCTTTTTATGATTAAGTGTTTCAAGTGTGTTTTGCCCTTCATGTATAGGATGCTTCATTTCATGGTCCAGTCTCTAGGTCTTCACCTCTCTCCGCCTCAGAGTTTGTATTCACAGTAAAGTGCCTTCAACCCGATCCTTGTCTCTTCGTTCCAGCTGTGCCGGGGATTTGATTTCAAGAAATGGGTGTAGAGATTGTAATCGCGCCATGGTTGCCCTTCCTTGGAGGAAAAAAATGTGAGACTGGAATATAAAAATAATACATGTTAATGATATATATATATTTATATAGCCTACGGGCAGCTAATATTTGGTTTAAAAGTATAAAGACCTTATCAGATCAGGAGTGCTCCTCCGCGCTGCCGCTGAACGAGCGGCTCCGGATGTGGTTCCTCAGCTGCTCGATCAGCTCGGGGTTCTGCTGCTGGATCTGCTGCGCAAACTGTTGACCCCTGACAGACCAACCAGAGAACTGTGTTTAAAACAATAGCTCACAAAAAGCAAGATGAGAAATATCTTAGTTTTTAATATGCAGTAGAAGAAATTCCTTTTTGATAAAAGCCTTATTTCCTCACCTTGTTGACAAAAGTAAAAGTATTCTGACGCTGGGCTACGTGGTAGGCTACTATCAACAGAGCCACTGCTTCTCAATATCTAAGGGGTTTGTGGTCTGAACATGTCACCTCAATTTAGGGAGTTATTACATTCTGTTTTAGCCTCCACCAACGTGTATAAGATCGTTTTGAAAAATGCTTGTTGAGGTGCATTGCTCCTGCATCAAATTTCACTTGATGCTGCAGAAAAGTAGGCCTACTCTAACACCACAAACTGGCTTTGAGCCTCAGTGGGCAGCATGCCCCGTTGGAATCAGATATTCATATGACATTGTTTCAGAAATGTTCACATTGTTTTTATTGTCAAGAGTTAGATGAGAAGATCTATATCACTCTCAGGATTGTACCACAAATGTAAAAATGTTGCCAGTAGATAGTTAGACTAGACTGGAACCATTCAAATGGATTCCTGTGGTTTTATAGGCTATTTGTCGTACAGACTGTAACATTTTGAATAACTACTTTAATGTCTTATATTTAAATATGCTGAACTCATTCAAAACTCTCGACAGTTAATAATAAACAAGCAAAAGTATTTTCATCTATTTTTATGTACTTACGCTTCAATCAAACTGGAGATGTCCGACAGTCCCCCGACTCCTGCTGCAGGACCCCCGACTGCATTAGACATCATTCCTGACATACTGACCCCCAGAGACACAGAGACAGGCAGTCAAATCATGCTTCTTCTGCACTTTACTCTGAAGGCAACAATTCATTCTGACACTCACAGCTGTTGCACTTGTTGGTTCTGCATCACGCTTGCAGCCTGTGGACAAAAATCAAGTTTTTCATAGATGTATTAAAAGGACGATTCATTTCTGATTATCTAGTGCGGTACATACAGACAGATGATTTAGATGTATGTTGTCATTGTTGCTGCAGTAAACTCTGGTATGCTTGTAGAAGCGTTCTTGTCCTGGCAGACGTTCCCTTGTGTCATCGTTTAACGAGTCCGCACTGTCAGAAACCCAGGCACCGTGCTCTCCCCTCCACAATAATCCGGTTGATTAATGGGCTAACTGTCACTCATGGGGCTAATTAGGATAAAAGAATCTGGTCTAACCTTCACAGAGACAACACAAGCATACAACACCTGTCTCCAGGACAAATGTTTGCTAAACAGCGCTAACCTCTCAGGCTTTATGTGCAGTGCATACATTCAGACTCACCATGCTGATGAAGGCAGGGTTGTTGATTAAACTAGCCATGTCGAAACCCAATCCAGCAGCTATCTGTGGCACACATTAAAAAGGTCAAAAATAAACATGGCTCTGATATGTATGTGAGCTTTGATGGGATATAACTAATGTTACATAATAATAAAATGAGGTAAAGACAGCTTGCTTTTACTCACTGGGCTGCTTGCTTCTTTCTGCTTCTGCTCCGCTATCTTCAGGTTGGATTTATAGGTATCATTATCTGGATCTAATACCAAAGCTTTCTTGAAGAAGGAGATTGCCTCTGGATACTTGTTCATGGCTGTCAGAGCCAGACTGCAGCCACAAAATAAAGACACAGACCGCATTTTCTCAGACCTTGAAATATCATTGAGACAGGCGTTATTAAAACAAGGATTTTTCTAACATGAAACTCACCCCATCCTCCCGTACGCTTTGCTGTAGGTAGGGTCAATCCCAATGGCTCTCTCGCAGTCACCAGTTGCCTCTGTGTAGTTTCCCAGTTTACTGTGAGCCGCCGCCCTGCAGAGGGTTACATTCAGACCCCATGCTTAACTTTATAACTGTGCGTTGTACATACATAACACAAGGAAGGGATTTAATCAACAATTTAGTTCTCCTGTTCAAATGTGCTTGTGTGCTGTAGTATATAATATGTAAACCAGTACAAGTTAGGTGCAGAACATTGACAGTAAATCCTGTTGCTTGCAGTTGTAAAGACCTGTTGCAGTAGTACACAGCGTTTCTCAGGTCCAGGTCAATGGCCTTTGTGTAGCACTCCACTGCACATCTGTAGTTCTCTTCTTTCATGTGGTTGTTCCCTGAAAATAAAATGGGTAGGGGTTAGGGTTGGAAAAAAATATGTTGTTTAGCATTTTTTGCCAAAGTTATAATAGATGCATCATAGTTTTGCTTTTTGTCATGGCTTTTTTAAATAGATGATGCAAATGTGTCAACAATTGATGTACAAATAATAATTCATATTGGGATGAACGTGATATCAACATTAAGATATATTCATGGTAAAGGTCTCAATGTTGTCATGGATATCATCAGAATTTCATTTACAGGCATACTGTCTCTATATTTATCTTCTAGTTACCTAGTAACCTCTTCTGTATGATTTTTGTTTAACAGAGCACAAGCACTTTGTGGTGCTACCAGGAAGGCTACAGAGGAATGCAAAGTTTTAGTTGAGTTATAGTAACAAATAACGTTTGACTTTACCTTCATTTTTAAGTTGCTCCGCTCTTTCAATGTCTTCTGGAGATGGGGAGGTCTCTGGTATGGTAATATTGTCATTCTAAGTAAATGTCAAATAAAAGAGTCATTACTTCTAAGTGAATAGTGACTGAATGAAGAGATTTTGACCTTAACAGGAGGGAAAGCAGGTGTAACTCATTGTATTAAGGATTTCTATATGCTGGCCATTACCTAATGGCAGTGAGCCAGCATGCACAGGCACTCCTTAAATAAAGATGTAGTAACAGTTATATTGACAATATATGTCTGCCATAAGAAAGGCTTAGTGTTGACTTTGAGTTTGTATGTGCTATACATAATGATGAAATATCGTACCTCCTTCATATGTTAAAGCATGGATGGTGCATCACCCACCTTAAGCAGGGAGTTGAGGAATATTTCTGTCAGAGGCTGTGGCACAGCGAGGTGGGAGTCACTGGAGCCGATCTTAAAGGTCGTCTCCAAACACTGTATGGCAACTGCATTCACAGAAAGATGTTGACCAGATAAATAACATTTGTGAGATTTTAAGTTGCCAGCCAAACAATTGGTCTTCACAGTATTTTTCTGGTGAGATGGTGAGTCAGAGCTTGGCTGCTCATTCAGAGTGAGATATTTTTCTATCTGTTCATATAGGATGAAACACACCACCACAAGTACTGAACACCATGCCCTAATTCCCAGTCTAGTGTGATTCTTTATCTTTTATTCTCGCTTTATAAGGATAGTGAGATAAAAGCATTACTCTGCTGAAAGCTGAAGCATGTTGTCCTATATTTGTGAAGTGTAGATGCACAGCGAGTTGGCCTATACCTTCGAGGCTCTCCTGCTCATCAGAATTCAAAGCGCCCTGATGTGTTTGATCTCGTAGGAACTGCACAATAGAGAATGCCAGACGCTTCTCCACTGCCATTTTTATCTGGAAACTGCTGCACACAAGAAGTTGTTTGGGATGGAACAGAAAAGACAGCCACAAAAGAATGACTGTATTTATTCATAAACACATGGTAAGATAATGAATAGCTAAAAGTGGCCACATGATAAATAATGCAAGATAAACTTATGGTTAAACTGTTGGTCAGATGCAAACATCCAGGGTCAACAGAAGTTATCTCTAGTAGTAAACCTCACAGTCAGATACAAAATCGATACTAGGTCGATTTGTCAATGAGCACCTGCTAGATATTTCTGGGTTTAAGTTAATAAATGTCTTCAATATCTCTATTGAGATTCTTAATATTCACTAACCCTAATCCAAACCCTATCAACCCTCACCCTAACCCAGCAACAAATAAATGTCATGATAAATTATTTCAAACTCATGTTCCACACCCTTTTTGCATCTTACTACTAGTTTGATAAACAGGTTCACATTTCTATCTGAATATGAACAGGTGCGCTCTCAGTGACTGATCTTTGGATCGGAAATGATCCCTTTTCTAAGTCACAGGTTTCCATTATTGATCAAGGTACATTATTTCATAGTCAAAGACCCTGCACAATCCTGATATATGTTATGTGGTGGTGAAATAGGCCTATGGGTTTTTTATGGTTTGTTGAATTATGTCAAATCCCAACCAACTCTTAAACAGTGTTGGGTTATGTTGTTATAGTCATTAACATAGGCCTCAAAATAATCTTCAAGATTCACTACAACTCAAATGATTGTTGGTTATTAATAAATTGCAGTGGTTAAGAAGTTTGCATAACACATGGACTAATGTGAACCCTGCAGGGGACGCAAGGAGCTCTGTGTTTACACCAGTCTATGGTTTACACCCACTGCTCACTCAAATGAAATGACCACAATATTGGCTCAATAGCAGATTGTTGCCCCGGGGTCCTGCTGCTAACAGGTTGATTTAGTTATTCTATTAACTCCGGCAAAATAAGAAATGATGCTGTCGGTGCATGGTTCTTGTTTCCAAGACAACTCAGAGGTGGATGAGAGCTACATTATTATTGTATACTATACACACCAACAAAAAAAAGATTGCTCCATTAAAAAGATGGCCGTTTTTCATCTGTCTGACCGAAGCAGTTCCACAGAGATTGGCTCAGCAACCAAAATGTAAACAGACTCTATGAGGAAAATACATCGCAGACACAAACAAACAAACACTGCCTCATATCTCCATCACACTGATGCCATGCGTTGCTAGGCTGATATAGTCGGGCTCAGCCACTCCTCCTCAGTGTGTTGACACCATAGACTGACACACGGACATGCAGTGATGCGGAGGCTGTGGTGTAATACCATCATAGGAGACGATGTGTGTTTTTATTCATTATGCAAGCATTATTATTGAATAGCCTAAATCCAATGCATTCGAGAAAACATAACCACTGGCGCATGCAGCTGTTTGCATAAAGCCTGTCTTCAGGATAATATCCGCTGATCGCCACTGTGCAGATTGTGAGGCTGAAACAATCACAACCTGCTGTCAGGGAAGCAAAACATGCAGGAGGAGAGGGAGGAAAGGACCTTAAATCACCTACGTAGCACGATAAATCACATTTATAAATAACATCGTGTCAAAGGATGCCACTCGGAACCCCCCGCCCACCTACCTGAGCTCTTATCCAGCTGTCTGTGCCGCCGCGTCATGAGGACCTGTGTCGGATTTGATCGCATCTTCTGCGCATGCGCCTTAAAAGCGGAAATAAGGAGCCTTTTCCACATTTCAGAGGAGAGGGTGCCTGCAGCTGCTGCTCTCTCTGTCCCTGCACAGAATGGTTTGGACTGAGCCACAGTAAGAGGAACAGAAAGGGGCTTTTTTTCTGCTTTTGTTTTCGTTTGCACGGAGAACGCATGAACCGTTGGCATGTGTGCGTTAAGAGTTATAGTGTGCCGCGCGGTGTACAGGTATGATGCTGCATATGTTAAGACTATTTATTTAACACCAGTGTGATTTGCTTCATTAACTTACTATATGTTTGCTGTTATTTCATTTAGCCTACCACCTGTTAATCATAGTAAAAAGGATGGTAAAATAATGTTCCATTCACTCCTGCTCTTTAAAGGAAAGCGCTGAAATGTTTATAAGTCTTGGCAGAGGTTTGTCACAGCTGCAGCCCTTACTATTTATGATCTTGTTTCGAAAGGCTTCCGCTGTCATGCTATGAAACTCTACCCTGAGTGGGAAAATGCCCCCTCTTAGCATGGAAAAAATGCAGAGCACGTTTCAAGTGTGACCTTGAATAATGAACTGCTTACAGTGGCCTTGTGCCACCTGTTAAATTAAATCTGAACTCTAATTCTGATTCAAAGTCGTAGTAAACTGAGATGTCTAATGTTTTACAGCGTCTCCAATCCTCTGCTGAGAACCACCATCCAGAATGGATCTGTAATATCTGCCAGAGACTGCTCCCTGGCAGGAAATAAGAGACAAGCTTTGAGATGGGACCTGACCCCGGATGATATCCGGACCTCTACAGACGGCTTGATAAACAGAGTAAAAGCTGTCTATGATGACATCGGGTCTCTAAAGATAGAAAATGTTTCAGTTGAAAACACCCTGAAAGCCTTGGCTCATGCCAAGCTGGATTATGCATGTAAGTGTTGAGGTATACATCTGGTGATAATGTACATGTTTCTTGTTGATAAGAACCGTGTGCCAATATGCTCCATTGTTGTCCTTAAGCTATATAAAACACATAAATGGGCCTCATTGTTAAACGACGTGACACTTTGCATTATTACCATGAACTAAAGTAGCCTACTTCAGTCCCATATACTGTACATCTACGTATTAACCATAGCACTACATTTGTATTATACCCCAGCTGAAAATAGTCCCAGACAAACACACAATAATTTATTTTTACAGATTTTTGAAGGTTTCGGTTTTCAGCTTGAAAACATAGTGGGTGTGAAAGTGTGGATTTGGTCTTTTAATGGGATCTTTTGACAACAAAATATATGTAATAACATCTTTCATTTATTTTATTTTGTAATCGTTTTATTTGGCAGGGACAATGCACAGTAATGAACACTTAAAACATTCAAATGTGTCAAGCGTAACAGTGCCAGATTTAGCTTTGAGCTCATTTCCATCCGCAGTCCCTCACATAAAACATTTAAGAAGATTACATTTTACAAACAGAATGGGTTACTTCATGCATTTTCCTATCTGGCACAATGTTAATGCTGTCTTTTTGTCTGTTCTGTTCCCTTAGCATCGCTCCATGTGCTTGATTTCCCCCAGTACGTCTGTCCTTCTAAAGAGGTTCGGGCAGCGAGCACAGAGGCCGACAAGAAACTGTCTGAGTTTGACGTGGAGATTAGTATGAGGGAAGATGTTTTCCAGCGAATCACAGCGCTGCAGGTACGCCTCATATCACATCCACTTGAACATACACATCACGACATGAGGGGAGTTAGGTTAGTAAAACACCCAGTCAACTCGATAATCGTGTTAAAGTATTGTTAACGGTAAAATACATGGATTTTGAAGCTCGTTGAGGGGTTGGTGCATTTATCCAAGTAGCTATGCCAATGACAAATTGGCAAGGCCTGAAGTGTGTATACAGTAACCTTATTTGACTCCACCACTGGTTCTCTTTTAGCATGGGAAAGTAATTGAATCTGATATTTTCCATGGAAGCCCACGCCATATGTTTTTCTGTGAATGAGTGGCTTGCTCACTTGCAGCATAATTACAAGTGAGTAAATAAGATGTGTGTTTTTGTGAATATTTGTTCACAGAACAAGCTCCAAGAGAACTCTTCACCTGAAGAGAAGAGGTTCTTAGACAGACTTGTTACATTGGGAAAGCGGAAAGGACTGCACTTGTCTAAAGATATGCAAGAGGTAAGAAGAATAAGTGACTTAATTAGTAAAGCTACTTTAATTTTGACCATATAAATTGCATTGAAGAGTTTGTATAATGAAAGCAATTTGGTCATTTTAGGTTTGAATTTTTGGCTGTATTTATATTTTTTCACCCCCAATTTTATAATTCTTCAACTATCACGTCACATACTTGAAAACAATATATAAAAACATAATTCCTGATGACTCCTTTTCTTTCTAAAGGAAATAAAAAGAAAATCCAAGCTTATATGTGAACTCTCCATAGAGTTCAACCAGAATCTGAATGAGGACAATACGTTTCTTGTTTTTTCTGAGAATGAACTCGGTAAGCCTATACACAATACACTAAGCCTGGGGGACTGCCGGATTTGATTTAAATTGATGTTGTTAACTTTCTGTTAAGGTGGGCTTGCTGACAGCTTCCTTGATGGACTGGACAAGACAGCAAACGGGCGGTATAAAGTGACACTTGAATATCCCCATTACTTCCCGCTGATGAAGAGGTGTCATAACCCTGAGACCAGGAGGAAGATGGAAACAGCTTTTCACAGCAGGTGTAAAGACGTGAGTGGAGTTCGATAACAAATCTGTGCTTCCTACACCTCCCTGAACCCAGTAAGAACTGTCTGTTTCAACTTCAGTTCATCCATATACTGTTCACCTGCAGAAATAGTGCTGTCACTTGCAAGTACTATGCTAAAAGTTTAAAAATATAACCTCTCTAAACTCTCACATACAAAAAAAATATATATTTTGCCTTGCCCAAATAGTAATTACAGACATACACACAAGGGTACCAGAGGAGGTCATGCATGCACTAGTATATCCGTTAGTTATTCCATCTCATTTATATCTGCTGTACTGTTTACTGTTCACTCTCCAGGAGCCGTAGCTGTATTAAATGACTGCTAATGTAAACCAGTTATTTCCCGCTGCTGCTTGCCAATTAAAAGTATTTAAGTGGTGAAACACAATGTAAAACAATAACAAGCAACCTCAGTGAGCTGTTTCCTTCACAGTTGCAGGTGAAAGGTTGCACACTGCTCACATGACGCTGCAGTGTGGAAAGCTACTTATGCAGCCTGAAATCAGACCCTTGCTGTAACTCTCATGGAAGAGTGCCAGCAATTGATTGATTCCTTTATTAAAACAATATGAGTTTGTTATGCTGCACTGTAAACAGATACTCCAGCTGCTCTTCTGTATATTTTTGCTGCACCTGCTGTTACCACACGTGTCGCCAAATCAACCAGGACTAAAATAGATATTTTTTCAATTTTAACCATTATTTGATCTGCATATCTCTTTCTTCCACTTTCTTGTATTTCAGGTTAACACAGCAATCCTGGAACAATTGATACAGCTGAAGGCAAAGGTTGCAGACTTACTTGGTTACACTAGCTATGCGAACTATGTGCTGGAGATTAACATGGCCAAGAATGCAGGCAATGTGTCTGACTTCTTAGGTATGACAGCTTTGACATTGCACCGCTCAGGCACACGCACACATAAAAGACATGTAATTTAAGACGAGACCATCTTTTAACAGCTTTGCATTAGAAAGATCAACTTCATTGGACAGATGGGTGGGCTCAGCTGTTAGACAGAAACCCTACACCTCATGCCTGTTGAGTGTAACTTTGTAAATGTTGCACTTCATGCCTCTCCTATGTAGTGTCATGTAGCCTTCATGATCAGCGTCATATATCACAAGTGAAAAATGGCTGACTGAGTGTTGTCAGTGGCTTGTTATTGTATTACAAATCCATATAAACCAGAGATAATTGATGATCTTTTTAAATAGTAGTAATTCATAGTAGTTTTAATTGTTTTAGATACAAACAAGATCTGAGAAAGGACTGAGACTTTGTGCTTTACAATTAGACATATAGAAAAAAACAATAATGAAATGATTTGAAACTTTTTGGCACATTTATTTATCTTGTTTTTGTTCTAACTCTACAGATACCTTCTATGAAACACTAAAGCCCATTGGAATCAAAGAGAGGAAATATATTCTTGCACTGAAGAAGCGTGAGTGCTTGATGAAGGGCTTCCAGTATGATGGACAGATCAATGCCTGGGACCTACCCTACTACATGAATCAAGTGGAGCAGTGCAAGTTCGCTGTGAACAAAGACAAACTCATTGAGTATTTCCCTCTTGACGTGGTGACAGAGGGACTGTTTGGTATCTACCAGGAGCTGCTGGGTCTCACATTCACACAGGTGGAACACGCTAATGTGTGGCATGAAAATGTGAAGCTTTATTCTGCCCGGGACACTGAAACTGGAGAGGAGATCGGCCAGTTCTACATGGACTTGCATCCGAGGTAAAGAAAGTGTCACCGTAGGACTGCAGCTAACAAGTGTAGCGATTAATGTCCTGATATATTTTTGATTCTTTGATTGATTTTATCATCTATATAATGTCATACAATTGTGAACATTCCAATTCTATGTAAATGTCTTGATTTGTCTGACCAACAGTTTAAAATCCAAACATATTTCATTCATTATCCAATTTTTTTTTAAATTGCATATTTTCAGAAGCCCTAACTGGGGCATTTGTGCTTGAAAAAGGATTAATTTAATTTGGAAAATAATTGCTGATCCATTTGCTGTTGATCAACCTATCGTATAGCTCTAATCAGTTCATTCACAATCATAACAAAAATATTAAGGCTATCGGTGACAATAGCCCTTAATCTTTGTAATGTCATTAGTATTAAAGGTGGGGTAGGTAAGTTTCAGAAACCGGCTCGAGTGCACTAAAATTTGAAAGTATACGCAGCCGAAAAGAATCCGCCCCTTCCTTCAGACTTCCTTACAGAGCACCTCCTCCAACACACATGAACGCGCACATGACGTCAGCAGACTGGTGAAAGTGGCCGCCTGTTGCTGGCGAGTCATTGAAGTACTGCTGCAATGCACGCCCAATGACGGCACGAGATACATTTGTGCGTGCACGAGATGGAAGGCTGACAGACAGGGCCGGCTAAACGGATTGGTTGTACTTTTTACAGTATTACGGCTTCTACAGATGACATTTTTTTGTCAAAGCACTTAAGATATTCATTGCTATCGGGATGTTAAGAGCATTCTATGGAATATAACAAAAAGTGTATCTCGAGCCGGTTTCTCAAACTTACCCACCCCACCTTTAATGCTCTGATTGAGCCTGCTGTCTGACTGTGTAACTTCATCTTCCACCAGGGAGGGGAAGTATGGCCATGCAGCGTGCTTTGGACTGCAGCCCGGCTGCAGGGGACCTGATGGAAAACGCAGGCTTCCAGTGGCGGCCATGGTGGCTAATTTTACCAAGCCCAGAAAAGGTTGGCCCTCCCTCCTCCAACACCATGAGGTGGAGACTTATTTCCACGAATTCGGTCATGTTATGCATGAGATCTGTTCTAAGGTAGGTCACTTTGAATATCAGCAGCTTTGTGTGAGTTTAATATAGTATTGTATATTAATTAGAGTGATGGAGATTGTCCTGTGTTTATTACAGACCACTTTTTCAGAATTCAGTGGAACCCTGGTGGAGACAGACTTTGTGGAGGTGCCGTCGCAGATGCTTGAGAACTGGGTTTGGGAGAAGGAGCCTCTGAGGAGAATGTCCCGCCACTACAAGGACGGCAGCCCAATCCCAGACAATCTGCTCGACAAACTGATTGCATCTAGAGTCGCCAATACCGGTGAGAAACTGGAGTTTTCTGTTAATTCAAAAAATAAATGTGTAGAACATTTATAGAGAAATCAAGGGTCTCTGACTTTTCTATCCTCTTCAGGACTGATGAACCTGCGCCAGGTAGTCCTTGGTAAAGTTGATCAGTCCCTACACAGCTGTCCAGATGCTGATACAGCTGAGGTGTTTGCAAAGCACTGCGAGGACATCCTGGGTGTTCCTGCTACACCAGGTCAGTAGTTACTTTAGCAACAGTAGATTTGCAAGATTACGCATATATTTAGAGAAATAAATGCATTAACACTTTTCTCAGTGATTGAGAGCATTTATTTATCAATTGTCTCTTATAAGGATAAATACTTGCATTGTTACATTTCAAATTGACAGAAAAGCTCTTTGTGTTTAATTGATTCTGTGAATGTCAGCTGTATTTTATGTAATAACAAAGCTCTGTTCTCTGCAGGTACCAATATGATTGCCAGTTTCAGCCACTTGGTTGGAGGATATGATGGACAGTACTACAGCTATCTGTGGAGTGAAGTTTACTCCATGGACATTTATTTTAGCCGTTTTAAAAAGGAAGGCATTATGAATCCAAAGGTAGGTGTGATTATTACAATATATCATACATTTTCTTGTAAGCACACATCTCACTTTAAAATATATTTATTAGGTTGGAAAAGAGTACAGAAGGGTGATCCTGGAAGCTGGTGGATCTGAGGACGGCATGGACATGCTGAAAACCTTCCTCGGCCGTGACCCCTGCCAGGACGCCTTCTTTCAGAGCAAAGGACTGATTAAGTCACAGAAAACACAGACTTTGTAATTTGATATATATATATATACTGTAGAACTGTTTTTTTGTCAAACTATTTAATATTTTTGTACTTTTTGTATGAAGATTAAAAAAAGACTTTTCTTGAAGTGTATTGAAAACTGGATAATTTCTACCTGCTTGCATTTTTTCAAATAAACTGTAAATCATGTAGGATCCCCATGATTGCATGTACAATTATGTTAGTGTTAATAATTACATTTACAATGATTTTGTTATATTTAAGTGTCCTAGTAAGCCAAAGCAAAAGACACCATGCACAAACCTATGACCCTATGACTATGAAAACAAGCAGCTAAATGTGAATAAGTCAGCATTCATTTAATTATTAACACCATCTGTTTTCTACTGTGACATGTGAACATTTCTTCTGTGAAAAAGGCATAGTTGTGTGTGCACAGCTGCATGTTACCATTGTAAAAATACATTGTTTCTTAATTGTTTTAATTGATAATGATTTTTTGAATGTATAGATTACCAATAGTTTATGTAGGTGGATATGCAGAACACACTTGTTATTGCATCTTTGAATTTGTTGTCCTGTCAAATTTCCATTAAACTGAAATATGTATTAGAATAAGCATACAGATTCAGACAGACGGTGATAGGATACTATGGTTAACTTTCAGAGATTCTTATATGCAGACAGTCTAGGATCTCAAAACTGCACATACTAGGGCAAAATTGCTTACAAAACCTTAGTGTAAATACATGTGTTGCATTAAGTTCCCTCCTTTAAAGGGGATTAGGCTCTTGTAGGAAATATTTAAAGAAACTGATTAAGAAAATGTGTTTATAATCACAAAAAGGTTTGCATTATTTAAAATGCTCCTGCATTAATGGAGATATAAACACCAGGGGGCGCCACAAGATAGCATAAACTGGAATTGTACTTCGAAATAGTAAAGAAAGATACATTTATCGTTGGGAAAACACTTTCTCTGTTGATAAATACATTTTTTTTAAATGAAATAATGTACATTTGACTGGTGAGACTGTTGTAAATAGTGCAAACACCTTTATGGTTGTAGGTTTGTTTAATAAAATGTCTTATTTGCCATTGCTTCTCGTCTGTATGATTACCTTCCTTAACCTAATCAGATAGGAAGAAAATATTGTCGAGCAAATGGATGGGTGATACGGGGATTCATTAAAAGTGTCAGGGAGAGATAGTGAAAGCATCACCGCGGGGCTCGGTGCAGCTGGAGGAGACTTCTGGTGGACAGCCTCCTCCTACATGTAGGCACAGAGGTCGCAGAGAAGAAACCCACCGCTCCATGTTTGCTCTTAACAGCCTCAATGTAGCTTCACTCGACTCTTTCATAGCAACAAGGAAACGAAATTATGAGTGAAAACATCTGGGAGCGGCGTACTTTACATGAAAAGGTTTCGCTTTGCCTCGCATTTTTGCCTTTTGTATTTCCTTGCTGAATGTCGTGGACATTTTGGATTTTTTTGAATGCTCGTGTCATTAAGTCTTACAAATTAAGGACCATCTTTTTCAAATTTCATCCCGTTCGGTTAGTTGTCTTTATGTGAGCTGAATACTTTTACGTGTGGGGGACGACAACGTAAAACAACTTGAGGACGGCTCTGCTGAGGAGAATGTGCGAACTGGGCCAGCTTCGAGTTGCTCTTTAATGGGGCAGCATTAGCTAACTGCTAACTAGCACACCCCTATTGAACTAACCTCAAGCAAAGCTAGCTGATGCCCGCTTCTCGACACGTTTTTTTTGGATACTAACAACCTGCTCATAACTCTGATATCGTTGAATGAGACGCTGACTCGAAAGCAATTCAGGTAAGAGTCTTTGTTTGTTACTGTTTCTGTGTTTGTGTGTGTGTGTGTGTGTGTGTGTGTGTGTGTGTGGGGGGGGGGGGCTTACAACATGCTAACATTACGGCTAGCTGCGTAGCGCAGCGTCGTTGAGGTCCCATTCTGGCGCTGTCCGACTTGAGTCCTATGTTAGTAATTCAGTGAATTCGAAAAAACTATTCAACCAAAGCACAATTTACGAAACTCTGTAAATATGCAGATCCGCAAAATCACCCGGAATACAAACATCTCGGGAAACATTTTGTTTAAGCTGGTGTGTGTGTTTGTGTCTGTTTTCAAAGTAAGAGGCACTTTTTTCATCAACCTTGTTGTTCTTCAATTAATGTATTTTTGTGTGTGTTTCATATATATATTTGTTTGTATATTTTGTATTTATTTATTTTTATTTGTTTGGAGGAAGTTAAATGTTGTGCCATGTTTACATTTAGAATGTAATGTATTGAAACCCCCATTCATTCAGTAAAATTAAAAGTCTACAAAAACACATATTTTAAATCAGTTATACAATCATTAAAATCATGTTTATGTTTGTTTATAATAGGTAGTCAGTGTCACTAGCAATGTAAGCAGCTGTCTGTATTTTGGGTTAACAGCTGTAACGTCACATGTCTGCCTGTTTGCAATGACTGCTTCCTTATCCACTCAGTGCCTACATCTAATATAGCGCAGTCTGGTACCATTTAAAGTATTAGTCAACACAATATGAGTATATTTGAATGCCTTTCTCAATATCACTAACGTAACAGCTGCACTGCAACAACAGCAGCAGCAGTCACATCTTGTGTTGCGGAGCACCTTTAGCCCTTCGACGGACGAGGGATTAGTGAGATCTACACCCAACATCTCGGCGTTTTCATTTTCTCACCAGTTCACTAATCAGATTACTATCCCCATTTAACTCCTATGTTATTTAATCCTGTTAAGATTTGAGATGGATGCGGTGCTAATCTCCATGTTTGTTTTTTAGGAATTTAAGCAGGTCCATGCATCACCATCTACTTTTTTTGCTTTGAATTAACTGTTGTTTTGGAAATTACACCAAATCTCTGAAAATCATAAAGCACAAAACGTTCCGGTGAAAATGAAAGAAACTCGTAGGTGCATTTATTTTAATGACATCTGTGAATGCTTTGTGGTGGGGTTTTAACACACTATTGACAGCATGACATGTGTGCAGGCTATACACCAAAACTAAACTTATATAAACTAATACTTAAAAGTGACCGACGGGCTGTTTTATGTTTGCCAAATAGAGAATATAGCATGTTAAGATAAACCAGTTATTTATACATTATTCCTCCAGCCTGCTTGTTGAAATGCAGAGAAGGCTTCCTTAAATCTCAAACCTTGAATTGGATGACTGGCATTGTCATGGAGGAAAACAGATACACTCTGGTCATCCTTCAAAGGCCATCCTTGCTGAGACTAGACTATCAGCTGACAGTTGTCATGGTTGTAGGCCTATAAACTGAGAGCTGGTGGCCAGCTGTTAGTAGATGATTATCCAGCTCTTCATGATAACATTGATTGATGATTATCCTGTTATTTATGATAATATGTAAAATATAACCTTTAAATGTCTCCATAGTTTATGGTACTGTCTATAAACTGGATAATATGCTGCCCACCTTTCCCCTATTTACATTTTTGATCATTCATCTAATTATATGACAAGACTGATCTTCACTATATACACTGCACAAATCACATAAAGACTGCAGTGGCATGTTTCCATTGAGGTGTTGGTGGACAGCACCTCAATGGAAGTTCCTTGTATGAACTGTATCTAGAATGGAAGATAAGGTTCGCTCTAACTAACAAAGGCACTCTATTGCACTGTTTGTTGTGCGACTTGTTGACGGAAAGAAAGCAAAAACTACAAAAGCCTTCGACAAAATCACCAGAGTCATGTTTCCTTATCTTCATTACACACGAATAATGTTACCCTGGTTTCATAATGGTTAATCCAAAGTCAATAAAGCTTCCATTGTGAATTATTTCCATATCTCTGTGACTTGGACAAATACATCTTTTGAAGGATTAAGCCTAGGTCACCCAGGTTAAAATCATTTGCTCCTAAGCAGCCCCTAAAATATTTAGGTTCAATAGTTCAAAACTCAGCCTGCATGGCAATATAGGGTAATACCTAACAACAAATGGATGTTTTTACTTCCTAAAGTTGATGTCATTCCTGTTGAAAAGGGACACAGTGAACGATCATCCTTAACTGTGAACCAATGGCATATCCGTTAAGGAGAGAATGGCTGTTGAACTGGTATTACATATACACTATTCATGCCTGAACACAGGGCTGTGAGCAGAGGTATTGTGGGAGTATCGTTTCATCTTCAGGTGTGTTTGACTAATGACTCTTTTTATCAGATGGGGAAGTTTAAAAAAAAAAAAAAAAAGTTTTACAGCTTGTGTGACCATAGAAGTGCAAATTGCTTTTCCCAACTACAGTAAGACTAGCCTTGAATTTATTCTTTTGGCATTTCTACTTTTGTGGTGAAAGGGAAAGAGAAATATGCTCAAGCAAGCAATGTGTCAACAATGTTGTCATGTACCGAATGCATTTGTGGTTATTGATTTAATTATCTTGTGACACAGTTAACTAGTTGCCGATAATGGTATAAAGCCTTAGTGAAGCCATTTGGAGAAAATGTCTGTGCTTGTGACACAATTAACGACATTTCCTACAAAATCGGAAATTATTTAGGCTATATCACTATAAGATTGCCCTCCTATCCTTATAGCTGATTCAGTGCTGATAGATGTAGAATGAGAGCCAAATAATAAATAATTGTCACACCTTTCCTGTTTTATAGTAAATCCAATATCTTTCAGATTTGGACTGTTGGATGGCTAAAACAAGTAGTTTGAAGACCTTAGGCGCGTTCACACACCGCAGTACTTTTCCCACTTTAGTTCCGATATAGTTCCGAAATGTTGCGTTCACACCCAAAAAATCCGGAACTAAAATTAGTTCATGAGAACCTTTTTACCCCCTTTTGCTAGAGAGCAGGGACTTTCGTGGGAGAAAAATGTTCCTATTTCTGATTGGCTGGGCGGAATGCAAACCACGCCCCGTAAAACTCCCAAAATGTTTTGTGAAGCCGCCATTTTATTATCCTCGCATTAGCATTATCCCAGCGCTCAAACGCAGAGAGACTAAACTTATGGCAACACAAAAGAAAACATGGGAGCGGTGGAGATGAGGAGCAGGGCTCCGTGTATTTTATTATTATATTATATAGAGTCGTTATTCATTTGTTTTAAAGCTCAATAAATAACAAAGAAGACCTTTGACCGGCACTTTTATAATTTTGACAGAAGATTTAAACTTTAATTCACGTTGACTGGCGAGAAACTCTGCCCGGTTCCCTCGGCCCCCACCGCGGAGAATAAACAGAAGGGCAACCATGACAACCATACTTCTTCGCTGCTTTTGTGGACGAAGTTACAGCGCCACGTACAGGCTCCTGCATATGTACTGCAGCTTCTCCAGCGGTTGGAGCTAAACGGAGCGGTCTCGTGTGGACAGACACTATCCGGATGACTATTGCATGTGGACGGAAGGTTTTTTGCGTTTGCGTTAATCCTATGCGTT